AGATGTGGATAAGAGACAGGTTTACCATCTAGAAAAAAGTTGTGCATTGTGCTTGGTATGGTACTCTGTGGAAAATCAGGAGGCCTACTGTACAGTCAGTGGCATATCTAAGGGGTGCGGTGGGGGTGTACTCCACTCCACAAATCACTTGCACCCCAGGCACCCCCACCCCCCCAAAAAATCAGTCAAGTTGTTAAAAAGCACCTAAAATCACCTTATTTTGCAAGTTAGTACCCCCTCAATTAATCGAGCACCCCACTTCAGCTTTGCCAAAACCCCCCTCCCCCCACATCAAGACTCCTAGATTACACCACTGTGATACCATGGAGGAATTACATGGTGATGGTGATATTGTAGTCATTGATTGGCACAGTACTACTGTAACACAGGTTACTGCAGCTTCTTGTTGTGGAGCTGCCCACCAAGCAAGATTAATAGTATATGAACAGGTGAGGACTCAAAATAAATGTACATGTGACTCACTCTGCCGCTGCTCCATACTGAAAGAAATAAGCAAACGTCTGAGCTAGGCCTTCCTTGGAAGATATGTAGCTGTGGTGGTTGGTCTCTGTAGGGGGTTCTATCCCCGAGCGCTTCAATAACTCTATACCGTCTTGGAAAGCGTCTGTGCATGAGCCTAGGCCTAACGCTACCTTCGTCTTTGGTGTAATCTGGAATTTCTTCTCTACTTTTAGAAGGCTTTTCAGAACATTGTCCAAGTGTTCTTTTAGTTGCTCATCTAGGTTACATTTATAGAAATAGGCAACAATAATTGCCAAAATGGATAATATACTACCGATAGTGTAGGTTTTGCTAGCCATGGCTGCCTTGACACGTCGCTTCTCGAGCGCCGCCGCCGACTTCAGCCGTTCGTTCGCGAAGCTGGATTGAACTGGTCCGAGAGGTTTTGTTTATAAAATTAGCCTGTAATGCAACAAATAATAGATGATCAAAAAACTTTTGTAGAGTTATATGTATGATGCTTTGTTCCTTATGGATTAAAGGGACAGTCATACTTTTTATTCCTAGTTCTGTACCTTATTCACACTGGTGTTAGACAGATATCAAAGTTTAGTTTTGTGTGATCATTATTTGGAATACCTTGGGACGAAGCTTATCGTAGATATCATTCAAATATCATGAATCTTATTTTCAAAACCTCGGAGTTTGACAGTTCAGCAGGGGCGGATCCAGGATTTGAAAGAGGGGGGTTCAAAACGTTTCCAAAAATACCAAAAATGAAAGGGGTCCGGGGGTCCTCCCCTTGGAAAATTTCCCCCTTGTACATAGGTGTAGATCCCAATTTGACATGGGGGATGGTCCATTGTATCATCCCCCAATATTTTGAATATGTTTGGATAAATGGAGCTTTACACACTTCAAAAGACAATAATAAATAAATAAAAGAAATAATTTGCAATGTCTTATGCGCTTATAAAGATGAAAATTAGCATTATATATGTATTAATGTTGGTAACAAAATTATTTTATCTGGTAGGCCTACCAATCTAAGCTCTTCTTTCCTTAGATGTTAGATGTGCTTGCAAAAGCAAGCCATATTTTCACACTGAAGGGTGTGTACGACATCTCAGTAATTTTATGTCAATTCCAAGAATTTTCAATCATCCCCACCCCTTCCCCCCAATGAAATCCGCCACTGTATGGGGGAATCCTCTAACGCTCAGGTGACCGAGGGTTTTAAAACAACGGCGTAGGCCTATATACTCGCGTATAAGGCGACGCTTAAAATAGCAAATTACAATCGAAAAGCAGGGGGTCGTCTTATACGCACGACATTCAAATTTTTTTAATCATGTTCGTTTATGTGCGGATCGTTCGTATCACGCGAACTTACTGCTGCAATGAACCAACTAAATGTTATATGAATGAAAGCAATTTTAAATACGGGAAAATACGATTTTGGTGGTGAAGATTTAAAAACTCATAGGTCTAAAATGGTGTTATTTGAAAGATTACCCTTGCATTTGGCTCCATTTATCCAGTTAAATGCACTATCAGGACCACAAAAAATAGGAATTCCCATGAAACACGGAGTCTTATACGCCAGACATACAAATATCAACCAAAAATCTTCTAAAACTCGGGGGTCGTCTTATACAGGGTCGCCTTATAGGACCTACGTACGCGAGTATGCTGTATACGGTATTGCTTATTACAGAACCCCTGCGGAAGTTGGGTTCCCGTCACAAATCAACGGTTGGTTTTAACAATAAACTCGCAAGACTGCTTGCCACAACTAGATTCTACAAGTGCGTCGTTGGCTGGGTAGTTTTAGTCGGAAAGGAGAAATTTTTTCTGTGAATTGATTCTCTAATGACTCAAGCTACTGTATGACCGTTTTTATATTTTTAATAAAACCAATTTCTTCTAATTTTAAATGCGTTTTCCCTGAATTTGATGCATGACATATTTATGATCTCGCATGTCTGCAAAATGCGTTTCATCCAAAATCACTTTGAAGTGATGCGTGACGGTTGGTAACTATGCCATAGATAACTGCCGCGCCGTAGGTAAAATTGGTAAAAATGCACCTGATCGGACATAGAGACAGAGCCGTTAGTGGGGTTTACTACTCAGGCGAAACTCTTACTGCTCATAAATTCTGAGATTTTTTAAAACAGAAAAGGCACGGCATTAACGCTCAGAAATATCTAAAAAAATATTTTGTTTAAAAAATTCAAGAATAGGCCTATTGAGAACAAACTATGGTCAAGTCATATATATTTCATCGTTTAGGGCCTATTAGGCATTTAATGAATTTATGATATATTATTATATTGACAACATAAATAGAACATAGGCCTATATAGGTGGAATTTTGTCCAACCCGTCGTGAAAATGTACCGAATACTCAGCGAGTGTGAAAACACTTGCAAATATAGTACTCGCTGCTTACTTGGTCTCAAATTCAACCATGGCCATCAGGTGCAAGCCCGGTGGTCTAGAGGTATGATGCCAGGCTAGTGACCTGGAGAACGTGGGTTCGAGTCCCACTGGAGAACAACAACTTGCAAATATCTTTGGCAAGTTTTTTCACACGCACTGAGTATACAGTACATTTTCAAGGCTGGTTGGCCAAAATTACACACATAGCCCCCCCCCCCCATTGATTCTCCTGACGCAAATCCAAGTATTCTTTAGATGGGCGTCGATCGGTGGGGGACAGGGAGACACATCACCCCCACTTTTCAAAGTAGGGGGAAATCATATCGATTGTCCCCCCCCCTACTTTTCACCAATCTTCTATAATTAAAACCCCACTTTTAATCGTGTAAAAGAATAACCATGTACTCGTGACTCATGAATTTCGCCTGTTCACTTTTCCAAGTGCGGTACGATTTTCCCGACCAAAACTGAGTAAAAACGCAATTGTTTATACATTTCGTAACCATCTCAGAAACACTAGATCGATTTTATGGGTACAGCGGTTATCAGAGGCTAAATTTATTGTGAAAACAATGTACTTAACGTTGTTAAAAGTAGAAGCGTGTATACTTATTAGGCCAATGTTTTTACAAACTCAAAAGTGCACAATTTCTGCTATAAACGATTTATTCCTCTTGTATTATTACGGTGACCCGTACGTATAGTGTTTAATATTATCTACATACATAGGATTACTGTTTTTCCTAATTAAAAAAAAAATTATAGTTAGTCAACTGAATTTTATATAGCCATTATTAAACAATAATTATACAGCCTTTGACACGGACATGTCTATCTACTTCGATTTAGTGATACCAAAATTTTACAAACTCAAGTGTTACGTAGACG